CAAACATCCCGTCTAACTTCTGTCTGTGTTCCTCGTCTCTCCCTGGCTTCTGGTTTGGTTAATCCCTGATGTCTCCTTGGTTCTGGTACGTTTGTAATTTTCAGATGGACTCTGATTCCTGCTTCTGGACCTTTGAACCAGAATAAACAGACTTTAATTCACCTCTGCCTACTGGTCTCTGCGTCTGGGTCCTCCACACAAACAGTGATTCATGACATATCCATTACTGTATATTGGTTATTTATTCTCCAGGTGCACAGTTTTAATATTTTATTGTCTATATTTTAACTCTATACTATGATATTTCTGCTGCTGTAAATTTGCCCATTGTGGGACAATAAAGACATTTTCTATTCTATTCTATAAAAGGGGTAGAAAGATATAAGTAAATCTAAACAACGTATGTATAAAGAATATATCTGTAAAATCTCTAATATTCAACAACCAAAAAATACGTAGTTAAGCAAATTGTACAAAATAGCAATTAAAAATTAAAGTTTTAACAGATTTATAGTCCCCACACTGCAAACTATTCACATACTAGTATTATATTAAACTGCACTTCCAATTTTCACCACTGTTCGGCGCCACATAACCTTTCCTCTGATCACGGAGCAGCCGGCTTGCTTGGACTCGCAATGAATCCTGGGATATCCAAGGATAGCGAGGATACATCGGACCCGTCCTTCAAATCGGTCAAAAAGGAAGCATTATAAGGCTGCATAACGAGGAATCTTGGAATCCGACCTCGGCGCCGCGCTATGACGTAATCGGTGTTAGGTTTATTCAATGATTATAAAATGAATGTCTGTGTGTGCTTATGAAACATTCGCTTCACTTTTCCTTGTGATTCAGTCGTGGAGCGTCCCGTCTTATGACCTGATCAACTGTCCTGTCAGAACAATACTCTGTTTGTAACCTTGTGTTATGTTCTGTTAATAAAGCGCTCTGCAGAGGAGGTCCGGTACAGACAGAGTCTTGGATGCAACCGTCTCTCCTCCTGCAGGAAGTTATTTGAAAATCCCTTACTGCGTCTTCCAGTTCTTCTTTTACAAACCTACATTTTTGAACCCAACAATCGGCCTTGGAATCTGGCCTTTGGAGGAAGCATCCCATGAATTGGAACAGAGCAAAAATCCTTTAGTTTTGGTGTGTAGCTCCAGTTTACCAGGAGTACTTGAATGCACCATGCTCCAGTTAGAGGGACTCAGAACCAGCGAGCTGCTGGAGCTCAGATCCCAGGCAGTGATGTTTACATTCAGCTTCCTGTTACTTTAGAGGAGCAGCTACTTACCTTATAGCTGCCGTCATATATAAGGTTCTGGTTCGGTCCGCTTCAGTCAATGTCCTCAAATAAAGGAGCGGTGAAAGCTGGGAGTCGTCTCTGCTGCTGGCGTCACTTCAGAAATCTGCCCTCCTAACTCATTCTTCATATATCTTAACGTTATAATTTAAAACCAACCCGGTTGCAGTGATCAGATCACCTTTAATAGGATATAGATTTACAGTCTGACTCAAACACTCCGATACAGATTTAAAAGTCAAATATGGAGAGAAAATCCACAAGATAAAGGTAAAGAAGCCAAAAAAATACATCAAGAGTAGCGGATTATGCATGAGCTGTGCAGCAAAAATACAAAATAACAGAGGCGTGGGTCAAACAAAGGCAATACATTATTACAATACGGGATATACGAAAGAAAATCAGCTAGATGACAAATAATGGATGTATGTACAAACACGGCCACACGGATACTGCATAATGGAGGCCTGACGAAAACAGCTGGAATATTAAAGCCTTGGGATAGTGAGAGAGCGACGTACAATATATATTTATATCTCTATACATAGAATACTTTGTGAGACAAAAGGCACTGAGAGAGGAGATCGCTCCTCCATGGGAAGTGCTGATGTTGGGGTTTTATCTGACCGGATCTGAGCTGCAAACTTTATGTCTTCTCTGAGGCTTAAACGGGATACAGGAGAGGATATATGGGGATCTTTTTATTTATTTTCATTAATCTACAGCTGCTTTGGCTTTAAACTGCTAAAAGGTTTAAAATGGAGCCACAGCTGGAGCTAAACGCTCCAACATTTCATGTATTAACATGAAACCAGCAGCAGATCGACGCCTCTTTGCTCCAATCGGAAACTAAAAGTCTGGAGCGGAAATTTATCGCATGTCGGCG